GGAACGCTCAGGCCTCACGTCGGTGATCAGAACGTTCAGGATTTCGTAGCCATACTTCCCCATGGCCCCCTTCACAGACTCGAGGATCTCGCCCACCATCTTCCTTGGTCATGGGTTTACGGTTTGCCCCTTTGTCCAAACCAGCTACGCGACATCATGAATGATCAACAACTTGGCACCTGCTTGATTGCATTGGGCTCTCCGAAGCCCGCTTGTGCCGTGATGTCATGAACTTCGGTTGAGACTAAGCGGCTGGATGCCGGAACATCAAGCTACTTTGCTTGATGCTTCTCTGTGATAGGTACAATGATTGGGTCTGTCGTCTTTTTTCCGTCATTTGAGGGTTGCTTTCAAGGGGCCCTGGGCGCGAAATCCCCGCTTTGGAGGTGCACCAAGCGGAAAAACGCGCAACCTACTACTGCAAGGGATTTTACTTCTGCCTCTGAATTGAGCACTTAGCTTCATAGAATCATACTCATGCTTTCTGCTGACTAGTGCGGAACCATCATGTACTACAGGTAGCTTTGATCAGTGTAATGACCCTATCTTCTGGGTACACGCATCTAAATAGTACAAAACCGTTGCTCACAGAGCACTCCAAAAAAAGCTCTATATTTGATTATACAATGTAAATGTGTATGCAAAATCAATATATATATATACATATATATATATATATGCACATTGCATCATGTTAATAACGTTTCCCAACAGAGGTACAACGTTCAGCGCTCATGCTCAACATCACCCATGACTATTGTTGCCTCATGTCTTTCTTTCTTTTCTTTCTGCCGGGCTTCTCCTTGGCCTCGTAGCTCTCGTCCAGAGTCATGCCAGGCAGCGTGGAGCGCAGCACGCTGTCCACCTGTGACCAAAACGCGCGTTGAATGGGGTCTAACACCTGGGCTCCATTTGGATGTTTCACACGTGCCCTCTGGCACAGGCTGGGCAGGGTCGCTGCAGTATGGCGTGCATGTGCCAGGGTCGGTGGTGTCATATGAGCCACTGTCAAGGTTGGCTTGTTGCGTACACAGTAGTTTGTTTGAGGGTGTCAGGAGGGCGCATGGCTTTTGCTCGTGTCGGAAGCACCCAGGGGTTGTGTGTGTGTGTGCGCCTGTGTGCGCTTTTCTGAGGGTACCCTTGATGTTTTGGCACCACGATTAGGGGAAACCACAAGGTCCCCTGATCCCCGAATCCATGCTTGCCTCCTCGCCTGCTTGCTTGCTTGCCTGCTTACCTGCTTGCCTGCTTGCTTGGCCAACTTTGCCTTTGCCTTTTTGCATCAAGCTTAAATCATGCCATACCTCGCCAAACAGAGGCTATCATTGCCTGTTGCCACAGCCTCGCACAGCTCGCACCTAAAGCCTCGGATTCCCTCGCGCGCCTCGGCCTTGATCTGCTCGGTGGGGCTGGCCACGTCGAAGATGGCCACCTTCACCATGTCCTTCTGGATGCGGTACTGTATCGCAGTCACCACCTCAAGCGTCGTATCATGATATGGGCATTGTGTGTGTTCGCGTGTGCACCCGGTATTGAAATGGTCTACCCAGAACCCATGTAAAGAATTAAGAAGGCGGCCGCAACTATTTCTGGCTGGGACTGCCCCTTACTAACCTTCATCTACCCGGGTTTTGATTGTGGCTCATATGGCCATGTGTGTGTGCGCGCGTGTTTGTGTTCGTGTTCGCGTGTATGTCAACACAGAGGCCCCCAAAAGTGGTGGTATTTCTGGCTTCCCAATCATGATCAAGCTGGAAAGGGTGCCTTTTTAGCCTCTAACACTTACCAGGCAAAGTTGTTTCAAGCGCAGCAGCATGTGTGCCATGGTCAAAACTCCTAGGGCCAGTGGCATGTCTTTCTGGATTGGAAACCCTTTGGCCTCAAGTCGCCCTTTGTTGAGCATCCTTGATTCACGACCCGGGCGCCGTTTTTTGACGGCAGATCTGGGGCCAAACATCCCCCCAGCTTGGAGGCCTCTTTCAGGAAAAAGGGCGGGTGCCATGTTTGTCCATTGAGGAAAAAAACATCTCAGAACTCATGTTGAGCGAGGAATGTTAGGCAAAGAAGAAGTGCTTAGAGCCAAGGAGCCGTGACAGTGACGTTGTCTTTGGTTTTGCAGTCCGAGTGACAGCTCACTTGTTGCACCGCCAGCGACACTTGCTGCACGGAGGTCACGCACCAGTTGATGCACATGCATCCTGGATCTTGCAGGCCCTGGTACTCTCCGAACTTCTGGATGACCCCCACAGAGCCAGTGTCGATGCAAGAGCAGCAGCACATGTTTGCCTCAGCTTTCAAGTCAAACGTGCCCACAAGCCCGGGCAAAACGACCCATTCATGAGCTCCGCTTGCACCCGACTGTTTCTCCGTTGCCACTTTCCTACTCCAAACTCCAAACACAGGCAAACCCAAAAAAGCTGCCAAGGGCTGCAGGTACGCAAAGGCGGTTGGAGGGTGGGTGAAACAGAAATCTGAGCCGAAAAGGGCGATCGGCAACGCAACTCGAGCATTAAAAGGCGGGCCTTTGTCGCTTTGCTCAAGCTGTCCCGTCAGCTCACTTCGATCAGTTCGCAACTGAATGTCTCAAGCTTCAAACAATCCCCCCGAAAAAATTGTGAGGCATCTACCCCTCTATCCAGTGGCTATATAGTGGTTGTATATCCCATTTAACTTCTGGCAGTGGTTTGGGGGTAGTGAAACCATAATAGAAAAAAATATGGGGCCAGTTTGGCTCTATGGCCAGCCAGAGGTGTTGCCTGCCCAAGCACATGTAATTCCATAAGGAACCTCGAGCGAGGAAAAAACACGGAGCCCGGGTTTGCGTTCAGGCGTCATATCCGCCAGACTACCCACCCGCTTGGTTTCTGTTTTTGTCAGGAAGAGAGACACGAGCGATAGGCTGATAGGCCCGTCAAGACGGGCCGGGCCATGGCACATCTGAATTTGAAACAAAATCCAGTGATTTGGATTGGCCTTGCCCCTTTTGCACCACTGCACCCGAAAGACGATCGCAGAAAACGCCGACCGCGCCCAAGGTTTGACGTTCCATGGGCAATTTGCAGATGCGCTGGAAGGTCTGCAGTAGACGACGTGTTGGACGTCCGCAAATTCGGGAAGCCCCCTTTTGGGTAGGTAGTGTTTAATGTTGACCCCATTGTAGTCAACCCCAGTTTATTCATTCGGGGTTGTCCCTGGGTTTGGTGGGAGGGGAACACCCCCTATTAATAAACTGGGGTTGATCAATGTGGGGACAACATCAAAGGACATCCACTTTGTTTTGCGCCGCTGGCATTGGCAACACCTAGATCAGTGGTCGGAATCAAGTTGTCCTTGCAAAGCCCCCGAGTCGCGCATTTGCTCTGCCATAATGATTGCCATCTGCTCGTTTGCTCCGAACGCGACCTAGTCCACTGAAGGGTGTCCTAAATCGAAAACAGAGCATGTTCCACAAGATTCCCACTGAAATAAGGGATTCCAGGAAAATTATCTCAAATGATTCTCTCAAATGATCGATTCTCTCATGGTCACGACACAAGTTTGAAGTCCCGCACAACGCCCATTCCAATTGAAGTTTGTCAACACCCTTTACAAGGCGGCACGTATCGGCGGCGCCAGGGTGGCACAAGGGTGGCCAAATGGCTGTGAATCAAAACCAATGGTACCATTTTGGGTAGGTGAATTCACCACCCATTTTAGAACCTCTTTTAGTGGGGATTGGGATGTTCACTGGGGGTACGATTTGGGTTTTGACCCACTGGGGGTACGAGTTTGGTCTGTTTTAGTGGGGATTGGGGGTTCGATTTGGATTTTGACCCATGGCCAAATGTCTGCGCCCTAAGCGACCGGATCACTTCTTTTGGCGCTCACCGCAGCACCGCGGCGTGCAGAAGCTGCAGCTGGTGCTCGTCCATGCCTGGAGCACGGGAGCTCCCTGCCTTTCCCACCGAAATGAACTGCCTTGAAAACGTATTCTACACTAACAGGGCGAAAAAACCATGGTCCCAAAAATCACGGGCTCGGTACGCGTGTTGGAGAGCGTTACAGGGTTCACCACAGAATCCAGCCGCTTTGCTTTTTGGATGTTCTTCTTCTTTCTTCTTTTTCTTTTTCTTTGGGGGGGGGGACGGTTCCATACCCTATTTTGAGGCAAACCCACGACGTGCGGCTCCCTTCGGCAGATGATCTGTTTTGCTTTGCTTTTTCTTTTCTAAAGAGCAAGGAGGAAACGAATGCCAAAGGCTGGTTCGGTCCAACCCTTTCTCTGTCATACTTTGAAGCAACACAACTAATTTGATACATGCGGAGGCCCGATGTGTTGTGTCAAGTACAAAACCAGTACCATTAGGCTCATCAACAAGCTAGCATATCACTAGCTCCCTTGTCACTGTCTTCTTCGGAGTCACAAACATCCAAATAACAAACCGCAGCCAACAACAAGGCCAACAACACCACTCTGTATTTCTTCATGCGCCATCCAGGTCGGAGCTAAACCAACGACACCCACTCACCTTAAACCAGCAAAAAACATGTGTTTAAATGCAGAAAACATGGATTATTCCTGCTTTTGAGGGTACTAGCACCCTTTTGTGTGTGATTTCTACAGGCACGCTTTGGGGTCTAACTCGGTTCTTTGCGGGGATTACCGGGAAAAGGGGGACTTCCGGGTACCAGCGCCCTTTTCGCAGGGCTTCGTTTCCAGGGCGACCCCAAACATCTCTACTCTTGGTATGGTAGCGAAAGACTGACTGTTTTTTGCAGACCCCCAGTAAGAATGAACAGAACCAAGAAACTAAAAAACCAAAAGACATGCCAAGAACAGTGAAAGAAAGGAAGCCGCTCAACGCCAGGCCGCGCAGCGGCAGCCGCGCCGACCTCGCCGCGGCGGCATTCGCCGGAGGCGGCAGCGCCAGGCGCGCCGCGGGGGACGTGGCGGCGGTGGCGCGGAGGAACCGCGCCAAGGCCACTGAGTCGAAGGCGTCCTGAGAAGAGGCGCCGATTTATATATATATATATATATTATTTTATTTGTGCAGCGCCAATCATATTTTTTTCTCGTGGCTCTTTGACCCAAAGGGCCGAAATGTGCTTTTGGAAACAATTTGTTTCTTTTTTCTTAAGCCTACAGCAGGTGATCCACCGTTTGCTCATTCGGTGGGAAGACTTGCTGGTGCTCAGAAGGGAATGAGAAACGGAATGACCCTAAACCATCCCTTGCGGTTTCCTTTAAGGGGACCCCTGCGTTCATTCTCACAATCCCTACAAGAATGAGCATGTCAGTTTCCCCTTAATTGGTGGCTTGGATTGTTGGTTTGGAGGTTAAGGGTACCTTCCCCGTTTGGCTTCAAAAGGAAGTGAGGTTCAACTCCTCAAAACCACCACACCAAGTATGAGTGAAGAGAATGGGGACTCAAGCCTTAGAAGTATGGGATCGTGGGGTGCTTTACAACCATATTTAGATATGATTTCAGTGGAATACTATAAGAAGATGATGCAGGACCCATAAAAATTGCGGGTATGTGTCAAAGTAGAGGACCCGGAAAACGGGCCGCGTTTTTTTTGGCTTCCCTTAAAAAAGCAAACCCCCAAAGAGATGCATATATATATATATATACCTTCAAAAAAAAAAAAACGGCAATGCTATCCCCCCCCTTCCCCTTCCCCGGAAACAAGCATAGAACCTGAGGGGCCTTTGAGGGCTATGGCTTCCAGGAGCCCCCGATGCAGCTTGCAGGTGCTGCTTCTGTTGGGGGGGGGGGGTGATACTTCTTTGGACTACCGCAAGGCAATTCACAAATTGAAGATTGGGAAGCCCTTCATATGTTGGAAGCGGCAAAATGGAGACACAATATGTAAAGTGCCGGCGGCTGAAAGCGAAAAAACTAGTGAGTGACCAACATGGTCGCATGGAGAGCTTGCAAAGAAACACCTGCACACAAGTTCAACCAACTTGTGCAGACCTAGCAAACATCCTGATGGAGTCGTTCTTTCTAGCAGCTCGGGCGGACTTGGTCACGGACGGAGGGTGGCGCTCCAAAACTCGCCAACATCTAATTAACAAAGAAGAAAGCCATACCTGTCTGTGCTCTGATTCCGCGGGTCAAATGGAAACCCCCACTAAATGGCTGGGAACCACCACGATACAACGTGGTTTGCTGCCTGCAGTATGGCCCCCCGAAGAAACGGCATCTGCGATATGCTTGATGTTTAAAGTGCCGTTTGTCCGCACAGATACATTTGCATCTGGGACAAGGCAAGGGCCTTGCCAACCTGTCACCGTTTCTTGTTTTGTTTCTGCTGTTTGCGTGTTTGATCCCGTGCTGCCTTCAAGTTGCCGCTGTATGACATCGCGGGTGCGGAAACCGCATGCCAGGTGACTCGTTATGGAAACCCCAACCCAACTCTTGAACATCATCATCTCATCTGCCCTACGTGGTGTTAACCCCTTTCACAGTCTCCAATAGTTGATTAGAGGGTCCAGCTAAGCGAAGACTCCTCACTCTCCTGATAAATGACTAGACGATCAACATTGCCTCTCTTGCCTTCTATCGCTCAACTCCAAAACCCCTATTTGATTTATTTGCTTTTGGGAATGCGGAGCACTTTTGGGAGAAACCGAGAACCCCTCTCGCCTCCCCACCCCCCCCCCCAGTTTCCCGGGTTTACAAATTCCGGGGTCGACAGGAAGATGTCAAACCTTGGACCACCCCTCTTCCCGACTCCCCGGAAGCTTCATCGCCTGGACGACACCTGCCTCGCGCCGCGCACGCTCGGTGACCTTGTCCTCGCGTAGCCGTGGCGACAGAGCAACGTTTGATAGTGCCGCAATCAGTCAATACAAAACTTGCTGGTTTGATAGGCAGGGAATGAGAAATGGAATGACCTCTGATAAAAGCATCCATCCTGTGGTTTCCTTCATAGGTTCGCAATCAGTTTCTCTGGTAAGATCCTATGATTGATGGGAAACCGGCTAGCTTGCTGATTCGAGAGATGCAGGCAAAGAGAAGTGGAATGACCCCTAGAAAACCATCACCAAACCGGTTCATTCCCAACACACGGACCTATCGCGCCGGCAAGACAAGCCAATCCCATCAAACAGCTACACGGAAAATGCGAATGACGATCAAAACATGTACCGCCCCTGTGTCCAATGTCCTGTCATGTCCTCTCCCCAAACCAAAACTAAAATAACACAAACAGTGCTGGTAACCCTTTACCGGAGGCTTTTGTAGAGGTCAAAAGGAAACGAACCCTGCAACACGCACCACCGGGCTCCACCCTTTTCGAGGAAAGCCGTTTTTGGGTCAGTGGCCCAAAAACGATGGTGTCCAAAGGCTTCCTTGGGACACAGACCAAGACCACCTGTGCGGTTGAATGATTTCAGACATACCCTTTTCGAGAACCCCCCCCGACAAAAAAAGAGAGCCTCCCAATGGACCCCTTCTTTCTCTTTGGATGGTACAACGGAAACTACAAGAGAAACGGAAATCTTTGGGGCTTCCCCAAGAGACACAAGCACACAAGCACACACACACACACGTCCAGATGGGTGTCTTTGTTGTGGTTTTTAAAGGGAAACCGCAAAAGGAACCCAGCATTTAGATGGTCCCCCCCCCCAAAAAAAAAAGCATCCCCCCAAAAAAAAAACGGACACGCGGCATATGCTTCTCAATGCGGCTGAGGGCGCGCGCAGCACCTTGGCCTCCTTTGCCAACTCGCGGAGGCGCTGCTGGTGCGCGCCGCAGGCAGCCTAAACAGGAAGCACCCGCTGGAGGGTTGATGCTTATTGCGGCAAAAGCTTCCATTTGCGTTTTCGCCCCCTCTAAAAAATAACAATACGTCCAGTAGTGAATAGTGAAATCGATTCCCTTTACAACCAACAGGGAAAATGAAAAACATATTCTTAAGCAAATGGAGTAAGCTGTTTGATGGGATTGGCTTATCTTGCTGGTGCGGCGAGTCCGGGTGTTGGGAATGAACCGGTTTTGGGGATGCCCGAAAAAAGGAAACCATAGAGTGGATCTTCGTTGGAAACCAAATGGAGGTGCAGCTGGCTAAAGGCACAGTTCTGACAGTGGTTTTTGCCATCTTTACTTCAAAGGGAGCTGGGCCATCTACTTTCACCGGTCTAGATGGTTGTGGCTGAAGGAAAAAAACAAACGGAAGCAGAGAATAACAAGGGGGGGAGGGCGACGCGGCAGGAAACCTACGAGAGTGCTTATCAAAAAGGACAAAATCCAGGTGTCAATGGTTTCGTGTTGGTTTCCCGTAGACCATCCGAAAGGGAGCCTTTTTGGCCGCGTCTCAGCAAAGCCAAAGCGCCGCGCTGTTGGAAAAACCAAAACTGTGCATCCTTGCGTCGCCTGGGGGCAACAACCAGTTGCAAAGGTCGCCTTTTGAATTATCACCAACACACTCGCAAAACAAATGTTCGGGGTTGTAATGTGCACTCTTGCACGCATGTTTGACCACTAATATCCAACATCCAACAGCCAGCCCTCTGATCCGGCTTGATTCCCTCTGCAAACAGCGACCAAGTTGAAATCTTGGAATTTCTGGCTGTTGATGGTGGGGTGTAGTGATTGTTGTCCCATGGATGCAGGAACCAATTGCACCGACACATTAGTATGGAACGTCGCCTTGTCCTTCCCTGCGCATCCTCACTCTCGCAGCTATTTAGCCTGTGGTCTTCAAATTGAAAATCAGCCATCCCCCCGCCCCCTGCCCGCTCCCGACAAAAGAAAAAGGTCGGCCTTTGTCGATCTCCTGAGCTTTCCCCAAAACAACCTGAGTGGGTCTCCGGTTCAATGGAAAAGACACCCTGACCATAAGGGTGTGGATATATGTGTTTATTTATGTATTTCATGTTTGTTTGCTTATTCAGTTTATCTTTAGTTTATCTAATTATTTGAGGGGGGTAGTTGCCCTTTTTTGGTCTAAATACCTACCAACAGCCAAAAAAAACACAACTTTTGGGGTGTCTCCCAAAAACATCACACGCCCCAACCAAATCGATCCCACCGAAGCATCGCTCGCCCGCCTCCGGCTCGGGCTCTTCCAGCTCCACCGCCGGAGACCTCGTCGGGCGGAGTTGAAATTGGGCGTGGCTGGGTCTACCGAGGGGTCCACCAGCACAGGGGAGGGGTCTGGTCGATCTTGTTAGTTTTTAGTTTACCAATGTTTAGTGCACTTATTGAAAGTGGAATGAATTACCAACAGGTTCACCAGCAGAGGGGGGTCGACACATGGTGGAGTCTGAATGGGTTCAAGCCACTTTGGGGGTCAAAAAAACAATGTGCAAAGAATAAAGTGATCTTGGTGAGGCCATGGTTGGAAGGTGGCAACTGCCACACGGCACCTCGGGTGAATGGCAAGTTTGATGTGGACTTGCTGTCCACACTGCCAGCAATTACCCTGGGATGAACATTTGAGCGAAGCTTCAAGAATTAAGGTTGTACTCTAAAACTGCGCTGAACGCGAACAGCGAGATGAGAAATTAACATTACACGTCTCTTCTGGCTGCAGTTGTTGTCATGCTAGCGGTCGTGACCGATGCACAGTCGCGTGCAGTGTTTGCTCCTTTGTGCGGTTGCGTCTGTGGGCTTTGGCTGTTGAGGTAGTGGTTGGCGGTTGTGGCGGTTGTGGCGTTGTGGCGGTTGCGGCGGCTGTTGCGGCTGTGGCGGCTGCGGCGGCTGTGGCGGCTGTGGCAGTTGTGGCGGCAGTGGCGGTTGTGGCGGTTGTGGCGGTGAGGTGTGCTGGTTGCTCTTTGCTAGTTGCTGTTTGGATGACTTCTAAAGGGAAACCAACAGGCCTCTTTCCAGCATTCGCGTACGCTTGGGACACAGCCTCATATGGCTGTGGCTCAAAAAACCGATACCCAAAATGGAACCCTGGTAAGTGGAAACATGGACCAAAACCTGCGTAACCCCCCCTGTTTAATTTTGAGCCACACCCATATCCTTTAACGCTCCAATGCCGCAGAGGTGCGCCACGTATTCATGCAGAAGCTTCTGCCGGCACTGCTGCAGCTCCGTCCACAAATCGCCAATCACGTCCTCCTGGCGGGTTGCACGTTCGGGCGACATACTGAAACAAAACAAAACAACTCCGGACGGTGGTTGATCCTCGATGTTGTCGTAGATAACCCGTTTTGTTGTATCATTGCGGAAAGTCAGGCCCTTACCATGGAAATGAGTGGTGTGATTCCCATTCCCGTGACTCTTCGGCCACCTTAAAGGGAATTCTTTCACAGAAAAAATGGGGCGCGCCTACCCTGGAAAATTCACCAAAGGGATGCCCGAACGCGTGAGGCCGTGCGCTTCACTTGGCATCAGCAAGTCGCACAATTTCGCAATCGGCCATCCAAGACGCAGGTGCCGGAACTCAAACTAATATGGGCGACCCCCCCCAAAAAAAAACAACAAAACAAAACACAGAGGCCTGTTCCTTTTGGTTACTACCCTAAATACTAATCAACAAAAAGAAAGTAAGTACCCTCCCACCAGTCTGACAAGGGGTCCCTTTAAAAGGAACATTCTTCCAGCACCCCCCTGTCAGGTTCCATGTCAAATTGGCGGGAGGAACCCTCAAACAAAAGACGCACCCAAGTGGGTTGCAAGCGTTACCAAAGCAGAGCTTGGACTGTGACTCCCATTCGTTGAAACATAAGCACGATAAGTATCACTTCTCACCCGTTCGGTTAGGATCATCCTGTCAGCCTCTCACTCACCTGCTTCAAAGCTGGATCTGTCAGAACATTGCCAAGACACACATCTGTCAAGTGGCCAAAAGGTGACTTCTCCGCTTCTTCCCGTTGAATTGCAATAGTGTCCTAAGTTCGCTATGTGTTTCCAGTTTCTTTGGCAAACAAGGACAGACCCCTTCTTGATAGTGGCTTTTTAAGGGGAACTCTCAATCAAAACAATGTTGTTCTGGCTGATTTGCACTGGTGCACCGATCTGAAATACGCAAGAAGGAAGCGTTCGTGGTTCCGCAAAGCCTCACAGCAAAAAGAGCCACCCGCACCCCTCAACAGGTTTCATTTCTCCCATTTCAATATCCCAAAAGGACCCGATGCTGGGACCATCCAAAGGGAAAACCTACAAAGTAGGAGGGCGCCTCGACTTTGTGTTTTCGACCCCTGGAAAAGAATGGAAAATTATGTCCAGTCGTGAAATCGTTTTCCTTTAAAACCAACAGGGGGAAAAAACAAAACATCGTCATTTCAGCAGATTCCCTTTAAAACCAAGGGGGAAACATAAAACATATGCGTAAAGCAACTAGAAGTCGACAGACCGACTCTGTCCTCAAATCCCCCGCCAAAGGATCAACTTTTAGTGGGTCAACTGGAAAATCCAACCGCCAAACCAATTCAAAAGATCCAAGCTGAGGGACCGGATGGCTAGGCGAAAAAAACATCTTCATTTCAGCAAATTCCCTCGGTAAAACCCAGCGGAAAACACTAACACACAAAAAACACACACACAAAAAAGAAAGAGCCACGCTTGAAGCAGCTGGAAATCCACCGACCACGAAGCTGACCGAGAGCGTCCTCCTCCGGCTGAGTTTTGGGCGCCTTCAACTTCGCCAGCTCCAGCTGCTGCCGCGCCACCGCGCGCCGCAAGGCCAAGACCTCGCCGGAAAGGCTCTCGAGGGGATGGGTCGGTCGATCGGTCGGCCGTCCGATGTGGCTGTGGTTGTCAAAACGCTGGAAACGCCTGGTGAACAAAGTAGGTGGCAAATGGATGTTCATCCACACCAAAATGGAGCCATAGGTCCTTTTTGGTTGAAAATAGATGCATATCCCTGGTAGTTGATTGAACCACCAGGTAAACCAGGAATCGCCCGGCCCATTTTTCCAACCAAATCCACCAAAAAGGACGCCTATGGGGTCATTTATACAGACGAATAGGATCAGCGCCACTTGGGGGGGTCATGCGAAAAACAAGTGTGTTTACACATGGGGCCAATTTGGCGGCCGCATTGGAAGATGCTGATGCACATATATGTGTTTTTGTTTTTTAAAGGCGGCAGTTGGGATGGCTGAATCCCTTGGTGAGAAAGGAAAGGATCAGCCTGGTCATGCTGTGGATGAATCCGCTTCGCAGCAGTTGGTGGTTTTAGCCCATAGGGATTCAGCCATCGGTGTTGTCCATCTACAGTATCTTCCGGTCATGTCTGGTCATTGAGTCATGCTTGGTCGACATTTCATCCTAAGTCATTTGCCTCATGTGTTGAACTATCCCACTGGCCGCTTGGATGATCGCCCCACAATCCGTCAGGTGCGCAAATGATGATCCTTCCGGTGTTGCCAATGTCACACAAAAAAGAAAAGAACAACAACTAGTCACAAGTAAAAAACAAAAAAAAGGAAAAAAGCTGGACCGCCTGCCTCCTCCGGGGAGACCTCATGGCAGTAGCGTCGGTTGATGCGCCTGCGGCAGCGCGAACGAGACCTGCAACATCCTTCCTCTCTGCCCAAGGCTCGTAGTAGGTAACGTAAAGACACTGCTCTTTCCTGCTAAACACACAAGCCAAGTTAGGCCTACTTATATTTGTTCTTTCCCTCTTCATAATCTTCTCAATCCTCACACCTCTGGGACATACATGGACACAAACAGGACTTTCTTTGACAATCCCTATTCTGCCCTTCTCCCCCCTTCTCCCCTTCCCCCCCCCCTTGCCCCCCTGCCCCCACCCCTTCTCCCCTTCTCCGCCATGTCCACCCCCCCGCCCGGCACCCCGCCCCACCTCTCCCCACCCCCCTCCAGCCCCCCTCTCCCCCTCTCACGTTCCAGGCGCTTCTCGAGGTCATCCAGGCGCTGCCTCAGCTCCTTGGCCAGCTGCTTGGCCTCCCCCACAGAGGCCGACAGCGCCTGGCCTCGGATCGGATCGATCCGCACTCCGCACGCGGAAAAAGCGGAAGCATGGATCGGTCGCCTGTTTTTTGGGGGGGCGGCCGGGGCAGACACGGCGCTTTGGGCCCAAAGAGGTAGAAAGGTGAAGAAAGAAACGGGGGGTGACTCGGTGACTTGGATTGGTGAGTTGAAGCTTTTGGGTGATTTGGAGCCCGGTTTGGTGGTGAATCGGAGGGACTAATATATTCCCATCTACCCTCCACCAATTCGAACCAGGGCTCAACTCCAAATTCCAACACCATCGGGCTCCCAAGCACCAAGAGGAGTAACCCGAGCTTCGGGCCCAAAGAGACCAAAAGCTCAACAGAAACCGATGGTTGGGGCTGGAAAACCCCGAGTTGTCTGCAGCGGCGGGAGTGGCAAAAACAAAAACTCGGCCAGGGCAAGAAAAGGCGAGAAAGCGAAAGCTCTGGAAGGATACTTGTCAAGAGAAAGGACTATTGCAAGCAGGCGCCGACAATAAGTAACAAAGCCAAGCGGCGATGCAATATACCCGAAGCAGATGTCTTCTTTGAGAATGCTCTTGCTGGGGTAGCTTTCAGTGGGAACCAAAGGGACATCGTCCCAAACTTGCGAGCTGGTGCTAGAGGAATCTCAGCCGGCGTGTTCTTTCCAGAGGAAGGGGGAGTGTCTTGCTCCGGAACTCCCTCTCACCCAACTCCACATCTTTTGAGCCAGGTCTCCGCAAAAACACAAAAAGCAGCTAGCATCATTGTCCACGGCTTGGTTTTCACCCGCCAACGCGTACGCCAGCAAAAACCCACCTCAACGCGAGAGCCCGAGAGCCCGTAGCTTCCAACTGGCCACAGCTCTAGGGGTTGATCCCCCATTCTTTTCAACCATCGCTCCTTTCAAGAACCGGATCCATTCCCCCTGGCTTTTTTGCATGGTTTCCCTGAAAAGGATCCCTGGGTTCAGAATGGACATGGAAGATGGAGGGCACCCCCAGCAGCTCCCAACTCGCCCGCTGGGCGCGCGGCACTTCCCGCTCTGACCCTTCAGCTCCTCTTCCAGAGCGCGGCACCTCAGCCGCGTCCCGTGGCCCGACGTCAGGGGCTTGCCTCGTGAAGCTCCGTGGAGCTCCTTTTTTCGTTCGAAAACGGAGAATCCAAAAAGTCGTTGGACCCCAATGTCCTTCAAAAGACAAAAAGAATAGCACTCCATTGCATTGCCCCCACCCCCCCCGGAAAAAAAAAGAGAGAGGAAGACGTCGATGTCCCTTGTACTCTTGGGGCCAGGAACCCATCAGGATCGGTCTCAGGTATGCCCAGGCGCTGCTCCGAGCCCACTCCGGCCTGCTTCTGCATCCTGCCGCTCCGTGTTCCGACGACTCGAAATCGAAAATTCGTCCCGGGGGCAACGCGAGCGGCTTCAGACTGTGGATGTTCGATTCGCCAAGTTAGTAAGTGGATAGCCAATTGGGGGATATCCCCCAAATAACAAGGCTAACCCCACGGAACGGGGGACTTCTAAGTGGGTTGTCACCTAGGTTATCAACAACTTACTAACTTGGCCGAACACCCAAGTAGGAAGCAGCTAGAACCAAATCTTGCTAATCAATGCGGTCAACGGGAAGTGACCCACTGCACTGTTCTCCGCAATGGGAGTTGAATTCAAATTACCAAACAATGGGACCCGCAAATGGGGTGAGAACTCTGGACCTCGGGGCGGCCAAAAGATGTGCTGACTTAGAAGTGTTGAAAGCTTGAAGGTAAGCCAGAGGAAACCAACAGACATATATATATATATACACATATAATCCCATTTGTTTCAAGGGAAGCCAACAGGTATTTGCCACATTCTTGTTGGGGGGTGGGACGGCCACCCAAGCCTGAAGCTAACCAGTCGATTGGACGTTGACATACCGCAAGCTTGATTCCTCTGTCAACAGACAGAAATATCGCACCTCGAATGTGGCACCGCCTGCTGTCTTTGAACACTCATGTCATGGCGATGACTGAATGACCTTAACGCCAAAGACGTGCGTCATGGAGAACAAAGACATGAACCATGCAAATGGAAAGTGGAGTTGCCCGTGCTGTTGTAAAGGGTCATCATCCCAGTCCTTTGAAGCTCAAGCTGATTGGAATCAAGCTGAAACCAATATCAATGTTCAAGCGCATCTGTTGTCCTTATCTTTCCACCCAACAATTGCACCATTTACAGCCCTTTGAACGGCACATGAGTCACTGCAATGGTTGCTCCTTCCAAAGGACAACCATTTGGACTATGCAGTATGAACCTTTTAAGGGGGAAAACAGATAGATCCTCACCGTGCCGTGCAGCAGGTTGCATTTGCTTGACCATATGATCCCCGGCAGTTGTGTACCACCCCGTTTCTCCCTTGTCAGTATTTACGCATCAAATGAGGGCGTTTGGTTCTTAGAACGGGGTTGGGGGCCACCGTGTTGCTTGCATGTTTGTCATGATCGAGTAAATCCATACCCAACAGAAGGCACTTGTGGGGCACCTGGCAGATCCCGAAAACTTCAGGCCACGGCAACGTGGGAGGCAGGGAAGTAAACTTAACCGCTCCTTGTAATGCTCCCACGTTTTCCCAGCCCAGAGGTTCTGCGAATCAAAGCAGGGATCCACGCATTATACACCTGAGCATTGCCTTGTACATGGTGGGTTCCCTTTATTGTGGTGGAAAAGCCAAATGTTTCAAATGGTTGCAAAATGGAGATCTTTGAAGGAGCCCTGTTCAAAAGTTGGCCCACTACGGACGACCCGTCCAGGTGGAGAAACCCCAAAAAACCAAGAGGTTGCCCTTTCTCCCGCTAACATAGCGCCTGAAAGGGGGGTGCCTCCAAGAGGGGACTGATTTTCCGGATACCGCAGGTAAGGGCAAAAGGTCGCAATGGCTATGGGGCAAAATCTAACCGGGACGGGACACGCAGGCTTTTTAACCAAAGGGGGGCTCCCTAAAATAACCACAAACCCATGTGAACCCCAAACCAGGCCAACCAAACGCGATCCGGCCGATCCGCCAGGCTCTCCTCTGCACATTGCTCACCAGCAGCGATCGCCGCTCCGACTCGATGCGGGCAACCCCGAACTGCTGCCTCGGGTTTGGCGGGGAAGCCGAAAGGAAAGCCACATTTTTCCCCCCCTATCTTGACACATATAGTTCTATGTGTAAATGTATACATATATATATATATACATATATAATATATTGTGTGTATCACATATGCATATATGACCATATATATATATACACATATGCATAAATCACACGGATACGCACAAGGTTCGATAATATATGGTGACCCATGGAATTCAAGCGCACAAGTCCCTTTGGTGGCAACCATACGTACTTTTGCGAACCCAGGTGCCCATTTTAGCTTCAACTGTTCTTTTGAAAAACCGACATATTGTATCTGGGTTGCCGCGACAATCTGAAGCAAAAGGACCCATGGCACTGGGAGAAGTACAGCGAGAATCTATCCAAAAAGATCTGCCCAAAACTCGCTGGTGCTCAGAGAATGAGGGAATGTACTCTATAAACTATAAACCATCCCGTGTGGTTTCTTTTAAGGGAATCCCAGGTTCATTCCATTTCTCATTCCCTACCTATTGCACCAGCAAGAAAACTTGCAAAGAATCCGAAAGCGGCGGCTCCGTTGCCTGGTGGTTCGCCTTTACTTACCCGGGAGGTATGATGTGGCTGACATGGGTGCCTCCTAAAACATTGAAACCAAAACGCTTGGTTTGCCTTCAATTCCTTGTACCATGTACAAGTCATCGAATTCACCAACAGGGCTACCAGCAATCCGGGGGCTGGTCATGAAAACGGCTCACATGGCAAAGCTTTTTGGGGATCATTCAGGTGGCCTCTGCACCGACCGGGGATAGGCATGCTTTGGGTGACCCAAAAGTCGCTTCGAAGCAATGCTGCACGTTGCCACCGAAGGCGGGAACCACGAACCATTCAGTTGAACCCGTTTAGGGATGGAGCGGATGGACAAACTCCTGCAGCCAGTTTTCGTGGCTCATCCAGGAACAGGTGTTTGGTGTTGTCCATTCACACTAGCCTGGGGAGCAAGGGCGATCTAATAATGAGGATTGGCAACCATTGCTGGCCGTTGCCGGCATGTAAGGACCACAAGTGGCATAGCCTCTCCTTGGCTCTGTATTTGATAGCAGGAAGCTCGCTGAACAGATTGGGGCAGAAGGAAGCTTGAAGGAGAACGACAAGTACCAGTCGATATTGAAACCCGGTGAATTAAAATAATGTACAAAAACAATGATCAGTCATATTCCTCTAGTTCGCACTTTCTGATGAGTCAAGATACACCGGGAAACTGAACAAATAGCAAGCCATGACATTGGATATCAGCTTGATTCCCAAGCAAGCCTACAGTTGATGCACTAAATATGAGGCAAGCAGGGAACTCATTGGACGCCCGGCCATCCATGGTCTGGTTCTGGTCAATTCGTGAAATCAACGGCACCATTGCGTTCAAACAAACTTACATTCATAGAAGAGTCAACATGTTTGTACATCAAATATGTCACGTGCAGAGCAAAGCTCGACAAAAACCAACCACTGCACAAACTCGACCCTCGAGTAGTCCAATAAG